AAAGGAAATCAGGAAAGACAGAGGATACTTCAACAAGCCCATCAGTAATGTGACCTAAGTGCCACGTGTAGAGTGCTCACACCCAAATAACGGCACAGCACAAATACTTCCCAAGGGCATGTGGAACATTCACAAAGATAAGCCGTCACTTGGCCCATAAAACAAGTCCTGAATTTGAAACTGTTAATATACAGCATATGTTGTCTGATTACATAATGGAACTAATTGAGAAATCAGTAATAAAAATGTATTTGAAAAATGCCTCAACTATTTGGAAATCGAATAGACTTCTACATAAGTCGCAATCAAAGAAAAAAATCACAAGAAATCAGAAAATACTGTCAGGGGTAACTGGGGTGGTTCAAAGGTTAAGTGTCTAACTCTTGGTTTCGGCTCAGGTCATGATCTCAGGGTCATGAGATCAAACCTCCCAATGAGCTGTGTGCTGGGTGTTGAGCCTGCTAAGATTCTCTCTCCCTCCCTGGCCCCCCACCACCACATGCCCTCTGTCTGAAAGAAAGAAACAAGGAAGGAAGGAAGGAAGGAAGGGAGGGAGGGAGGGAGGGGAAAGAAAGAAAAAGAAAGGAAGAAAGAAAGAAAGAAATCAGAAGATACCTTTTCTTGAACGATTATGAAAACAACATATCAACATTTGTGGAATTCAGCTAATGCAGTACCACAAGGAAAAATGTTAGCTTTTAAGTATTTATATGAGAAAAGAAAAACGGCCTAAAACTAGTGATATAAGCTTCCACTTGAATAAGCTAGAAAAGGAAAGGGGAAGTTAGCTCAAAGTGGAAGGAAAGAAATAAAATGATTCTGCTTCAGTGAAACAGAAAATAAATAGAGCAAAATCAAGGAAAATGAAAGCTACTTCTTTAAAAGCAGCAATAAATCGGTAAATCTCTGGCTAGATTGACCAAAGAGAGAAGGAAGACACAGATCACCAACACCAGGAAGAAGGAAATTTATTTAAAATATAACTAATTAGGGCGCCTGGGTGGCTCAGTGGGTTAAAACTTTTGCCTTTAGCTCAGATCATGATCCCAGGGTCCTGGGATCGAGCCTCACATCGGGCTCTCTGCTCACAAGGGAGCCTGCTTCCTCCCCTCTCTCTGCCTGCCTCTCTGCCTACTTGTGATCTCTGTCAAATAAATATATAAAATCTTTAAAAAAAAATAAAGAAGAAATACTAATTACAAGCTGGTGCAGCCACTCTGGAAAACAGCATGGAGATTCCTCAAAAAGTTGAAAATAGAGCTACCCTATGACCCAGCACTTGCACTACTGGGTATTTACCCTAAAGATACAAATGTAGTGATCCAAAGGGGCACGTGCACCCGAATGTTTATAGCAGCAACGTCCACAATAGCCAAACTATGGAAATAACCTAGATGTCCATCAACAGACGAATGGATAAAGAAGATGTGGTGTATATACACAATGGAATACTATGCAGCCATCAAAAAATGAGATCTTGACATTTGTGACAACATGGATGGAACTAGAGGGCATTATGCTGAGTGAAATCAGTCAATCAGAGAAAGACAATTATCATATGATCTCCCTGGTATGAGGAATTTGAGAGCCAGGGTGGGGGGTTGTGGGGGGGCAGGGAAAGAAAAAATGAAACAAGATGGGATCAGGAGGGAGACAAACCATAAGAAACTCAATCTCACGAAACAAACTGAGGTTCTCTGGGGGGGGGGGGGAGGGATGGGGTGGCTGGGTGGTGGACATTGGGGAACGTATATGCTATGGTGAGTGCTGTGAAATGTGTAAGCCTGACAATTCACAGACCTGTACCCCTGGGGCAAATAATACATTATATGGTAATAAAAATAATTTAGAAATAAAAACAAGAACTATTATTATTACACAACTTCAGAAAAGGATATGGGTATACCAATTCTTTTTATTTTTTTTTAAAGATTTTATTTATTTGAAGAGAAAGAGATCACAAGCAGGTAGAGCGGCAGGCAGAGAAAGAAGGGGAAGGAGGCTCCCCACCGAGCAAGGAGCCCGATGCGGGGCTCGATCCCAGGACCCTGAGACATGACCCGAGCCGAAGGCAGAGGCTCAACCCACTGAGCCACCCAGGTGCCCCATGGGTAGAACAATTCCATATAAATCAGAAATTAGAAGTAAAATTCTTTATCTGCCTAGGAAATGCTTAAGAATCTAGAAATACAGGGGCACCTGGATGGCTCAGTCTGTTAAGTGCCTGACTCTTAATTTCAACTCAGGTCATGGCTTCAGGGTCTTGAGCCCTGAATCAGGCTCTATACTCAGCAAGGAGTCTGCTTAAGATTCTCTCTCCAGGGGCCCCTGGAAGGCTCAGTTGGTTAAGTGTCTGTCTATGGCTCAGGATATGGTCCCAGGATCCTGGGATCAAGCCCTGCATACAGCTCCCTGCTCAATAGGGAATCTGCTTCTCCCTATCCCTGTTCCTCACCCTGCTTGAGCTCTCTCTCACAAATAAAATGTTAAAAAAAAAAAAAATTGTCTCTCACTCTGCCTCTCCCCCCCACTTACATTCTCTAAATAAATCTTAAAGGAACAACAACAACAAAAAGAATCTAAAATTCTAAATATTAGTGGAACTAGTAAAGTGAGTCCATCCAGGTTGCAGGATACAAGGTCAACAAGCCAAAATCAAATGTGTTTCTACACACTAGCAATAACAACTGGAAAACAGCTTTTTTAAAACCTAGACAGAACTCGAGAAGCATAAACTATACAAATTTTTGTGAACTAGTGAAAAATGTTTTAAAATGTGATCTTCAAAAGATACCATTAAGAAAATGAAGAGATTCTCTCCCTCTCCCACTACCCCTCCCCCCACAAAGAAAATGAAAAGGTAAGCCAAAGACTAAAAGTATTCATAATGAATACATATTTGGAAAGAGACCTTCATCTACGAAATAGGAAAGGCTCTTGTAAGTCACCAGTAGTAAGACGACAAACCACCACATGGGGTTCCTGGGTGGCTCAGTCACGCATCTGCTTTCAGCTCAGGTCATGGTCCCAGGGTCCTAGGATCCAGGCCCACATCAGCCTCCCTGCTCAGTGGGAAGCCTGCTTCTTCCTTTCCCTCTGCCTGCCGCTCCCACTGCTTGAGCTCTCCATCAAATAAAACCTTAAAAGAAAAGAAAACCCACCCAATTTAAAAATGGGCAAAACATGTAAAAACACATCACAAAAGGTGAGGCAAAGGGGCACCTGGGTGGCTCAGTGGGTTAAAGCCTCTGCCTTCGGCTCAGGTCATGATTCCAGGGTCCTGGGATCGAGCCCCACATCGGGCTCTCTGCTCAGCGGGGAGCCTGCTTCCTCCTCTCTCTCTGCCTGCCTCTCTGCCTACTTGTGATCTCTGTCAAATAAATAAATAATATCTTTAAAAATTAAAAAAAAAAAAAGTGAGGCAAAATGGCAACATGCGCATGAAAAGGCGCTCAACAGCACCACGGAGCAGACAAATCCAAATCAGAAACACAGAGACACATCACACCTACTTGAGGCGGATCACATTTCAGCCGAGTTACGCGATCAAGGCTTGGCAAGGGATTTGAAGCAACAGGAACATACATACTGTGGAAGAGTGTGAAATGGTGCAACCACTACGGAGAATTTTTGGCCATTTCTTATGAAAACACACTCATAACCCAGAAATTAAGTTCCTATGCATTAGCCCAAGAAAAATAAAGAGGCATGTCCAAATACATACTTTTACACAAATGCTCATAGCAGTTTTATTCATAAAAGCCAAATCTGGAAACCCAAATTTCTATCAACAGGCGATGAACAAAGGTTTGTCCGTACAATAGAACACTACTCAGCAGAGAGATACCCAAACACATAACTACTTGGTTGAGTCTTTACAACATGCCAAAGCAAAAGAAGTCAAGACACATAGAATTATATACTGTATGGGTCCATTTATGTGAAGCCCTACAAGCGAAACTAATCTACACTGACCCAAAGCAGGTATTTGGGACTAGGGCACAACTAACTGGGAAAGGGCAAAAGGGAACCTGTTTGAATGATAAGAACGTTATTTTTCTTTATTTAATGGTCGTTACACAGGTATATGGTTTCTCAAAACTCTGTACACTTTAAATATGTGTTTTACTGTATGGAAACTAGATGTCACCAAAGTTGATTGAAATGGTCTTGATAATCTCTTTTCTGTACCATTTGTAACATCTCTAGTAATGAGTTTTCCAGAAGATGTACTGTATGCCCCTCTTTATCACTCACCCCTGAAGGTTTCTAGTGTTGCTGGAATTTAAAAACTCAGAATATGACCATATTGGGGGGGGGTGTTCATGTAATTTCAAAACTGGTTGTTTTTGTTAATGTTCAGAGAAAAGAAAATCAGAGGCAGCAACTGAAAGTTGGGTAGACCATTATCTACTGTGTACTACAGCTCCCCAAAGAGATGTCTACTGCCCCTCTCCGTATCTGCAGATTCCTCTCCCAGGTCATCCTCTTCTCTAGCTGCCATGGCACTCGCTCTCTCAGTTCTAGGGTCACCTCTTCTGTGAAGCTGGCCCAGATCCTCCACACCAGATCAGTCTCCTCCTTACCTATGCTCCTACACAATATGGAACTTCTACTTCAGCACTTAACTCTGTGCAATGATCTGTCTTCCCCATCAGAATCAACAATTTCATCTGTTTCCCAAGTGTTCAGACCCAGTCCTTTTAGATCAATACATTTTCAGATAAATGAAAAAATGAGCCAGAAAGCAGAGAAAGTGACCATAAGAGATGAGGTCAATCGTGGAACTGCTGAGACAGGAAACCTTGAGCAGTGCACTGCAATTGTGTGGCCCTTGAGTGGATTAGAAAAATACACAGGCAGCCAGGTGAAGACAACACTCCCCAACAGCAAGGAGACGGTCATGGGTGAGCTCTGAAGGCATAAACCCGAGGCGCGCTGGTCTTCCACTAGCTACTGCTTACAACTTCCAAGTTACATAGAAGCAGAAGACGACAAAGCCGAGAGAGAAGATACTTCCAGCAGACCAGCAAATTATATTGTTACAAAACAACAAAACCCAAAAACGTAAACTACAGCAGCACAAGGGAGAGAAGAGCCAGTGACATGCAGATCCGGCTGCGCTTCTTACTGCCCTGCACCAGGTGCCACGGACACATGAACCCATCGACTATGACCAAGTCCTTAAGGAATTAGTGGTGTACTAGTGAGAGATGGTAGATAAGAACATCATTTTGATACACCAAAGCAAGTGCAGTAATAGAAGTGCACGCCAGCAACACGAGCACAGAGGGGTAGCTGGCTGAGCCTGACATGGGTCTTGACTCCTGGTAAGGAGCTAACCAGGTGTGCAGTGGAGAGCGTTCAGACAAGGACAAAGAGGAGGCAAGTACAGCTTGGGTTAAGCGGGAATGTCAAGCAGTTAGAGCTGCTGTGGCGGGAGGTTAAGGAGTGGGAGATAAAACTCCAGGAAGCAAAAGGCCTTAGAAAGCAGGACTGGGAGCTTGGAAATTATCCTAAGGACAATGGGGAACCAACCTGTGGTTTGAAATAACGAAGGTCTTTCTCCAACTTGCCTTTTTGATAGACCGAAATTAACAATGTGATATTCTTTTAAGTATTAAGATTAGATACATAGTTCTGCTTTAAAAAGTATTTTTAACTCGGATGGACTGTAACTGTGCAGTAACATGCAGAAAGCTTCTTTAGACCTAGCCCCTCCCCCAGCATTATTCCAGCTCCATCAGCTGTCCAGTCACGTGGCTCTCCTGACGTCACACATTCGTAGTGGGGAGGACAGCAGCCCAGTGCTGCTGCGCAGTGGTAGGTGACAGCCCAATCTGAAAGCGGCCCTATCCAGGACTTTGGAAAAAGCCGACACATCCAAAGTCATACCAGTTAGGAGTCATGCTACTCCTTCTAAACATCACTGAGTTGGAGAGTAAATATTTTATAAGTTATCTGTGTGTTCCCCCTCACCTGCAGACTTCTCACCCACATGCATGGCGGTCTTACTCAAGGGAAGTCCCTCTTGGTGAACACCTTGATTATTTTTAAAGTTTGGGGTTGAGTTGAAGTCTTTCCCATACTGACTACATTCATAGAGTTTCTCTTCAGTATGAATTTTCTGGTGTTGAAGGAAGTTTGACCTTTGAATAAAGCCTTTCCCACAGTAACTACATACGTAGGGCTTTTCGCCAGTATGAATAATCTGATGCAAAAGCAGCTTGGAGCTCTGAATGAAAGCTTTCCCACAGTCCTTACATTCAAAGGGCCTATCCCCAGTGTGGATTTTCTGGTGTTCGGTGAGATGGGCTTTCTGGAGAAAAGCTTTCCCACATTCTTTACATTCATACACTCTCTCTCCAGTGTGGATTTTCTGGTGTCGAATGAGGTACGAACTCAGAAAGAAAGCTTTCCCACATTCATTACATTCATAGAGTTTCTCTCCAGTGTGAATTCTCTGATGCTGGGTAAAGTTTGATGTCTGGCTGAAGCGCTTCCCACACTCATTGCACACATAAGGCCTTTCCCCGGTATGGATCCTCTGATGCTGAATAAGCTTTGAACTCCGAATAAAGGCTTTCCCACACTCGTTGCATTCAAAGGGCCTCTCTCCAGTGTGAATTCTCTGATGTTCGATGAGGTCTGAGCGATGACGGAAGGCCTTCCCACACTCCTTACATTCATACTGTTTCACTTCTGTGTGGATCTGATAGTGTCGAATAAGGCTAGAGCTCCTAATGAAGGACTTTCCACACTCATTACACTCATAAGGTCTTTCTCCTGTGTGAATTCTCTGATGGCGAATAAGCAATGAGCTCTGGCTGAAGCCTTTCCCACACTCCTTGCATTCAAAAGGCCTCTCCCGGGTGTGAACTCGCTGGTGCCGAACCAGGTCTGAGCTGTGATGGAAGGCTCTCCCACACTGCATGCACCGGAATGGTTTCCCTCCTGTATGCGCTCTCTGGTGCTCAGCGAGGTCTGCGTAATGAATGAAGTCCTTTCCACACATATTGCACACATAGAGTCTTTCCCCAGTGTGCGCTCGCTGATGCTCAACAAGGTGAGAGCTCTGGCTGAAGCTTTTCCCACACTGCTCACATCTGTAAGGTTTCTCTCCAGCATGAGAAATCTGATGTCTAACTAGGTCCGAGTTAAATGTGAAGCTTTTGCCACAAATCTCACACTGATGGGCTTCCCCTTCCACAAGCTCTCTCTGGAGAAGGAGGAGGTTGGAGCTTAGAACTGGGCTTTCTCCTGATTTACTGCCCACCCGAGCTGCCTCTCCTGCTTGGATCTTCCAATGGGTAATTGTCACCCCCCTGAAACCACCCTCCTGAGGGGGGCAGCTCCCCTCTGGGTTTCCCAAAAGTCCCTCTAATCTGGGTGCAGGGAATGCCCCAGACTCAGAGGCAGGGGGCTCCATCACTGTGAGTGTTTCTGACATGTTCTCAGGCAGATTTCCATCCTCAGAAATTCAGGCTCCAGAGTCACCTTCTTGTCACAAGTTTCCTAGGTCAGAATCTGAAATAAAGGAAAATAAGATCATCTTTTCCCTTTGTCAAGAGACAGGAATCTAGTGGAGCAGGTGGGGGGTAAAACACATTCAAAGAGTGGGAAAGAGGACTATTTCCTCTGCCCACACTCTTTACCCCAGTGTGCATCTTAGCTACCTACTTCATCCACTTGAGAAGGCTTCTCTGGGGCTCCACCTCCAACACCCAACTCCAGGGACAGAGTGGCTGGATAGTAGATAGGGAGAGATGTGGCTTGGACTCTTAAAAAATTAAGACATATTTCCAAAGAAACACAGATGTACTGATCTTGCCACCTCTTCATTGTCCTCCTTTCCCTCTGTACCCAGCTTAGATCCCATGTTCTATAGTATTATGTTTATTTTGGGTTACATACTCTAATCATCCTAACTCCCCCTGCCCTTCCTCTATCATCCCTGCACGGGAAAACCCCAACTTGGGTTAAATTCCATTTGCTTCCCATTCTGTGTCTGCATCTATGCCAACTGAGCTCTCTCTACACTTACAATCCCTTGGTTAATGGGACCCTGAGAGCTACCAGCAATCTCCACACTTTCCTCATTCTCCTAAGAGATCACCCCTCCTTTGTCCTCTCTTCTCACCTAACATTCCCTCCTCCCTCTCAGCTGATGCCCTTGTTTATCTCAATGAGAGGAGAGAAGAAATTAGATGAGAATGCCAATATTCTCCTACCCAGTCTACCAATCTGTCTGTCTATACCCAAGCCATGGCCTCCCTCCTTACATGTGTTATGCTGTCCTTGATCCAATTTAGAGTGAACACCTCCATCTGGGCACTAAAACCCATGCCTCCTCATCCACTCAACGGTACCAAGGCTCCCCTGCCCAAGTCTAGAGCTGGAATGTTCACAGCACGTCCACCAAAATAACCAGTAAGGGGATGGGCAGATTGAGGAGTACTCCTACCTGGGAATAATACAGAGCAATGAAAAACTGCTATACAAAAGCAAAGGCGAGCCGAAGAAGGTAGGCACGAAAGAGTTCATGTTGCATGATCTGTTCACATTTAAAAAAAAAAAAAAAGAAAGAAATTTTCATTTAAACGGAATTATACAACATGTTTCTGTGCCTGCATTTTATTCATCATGTACCCGTTTAAACAAAAAGTTTTTAGTTATTTATTTGAGCGAGAGAGTATACACAGGCACAAACACAGGGAGGGAGAATCCCAAGCAGACCCTGTGCTGAGTGCGGAGTCCAACTCGGGGCCCGATCTCACGACCCTGAGATCATGACCTGAGCCTAAATCAAGAGTCAAATCTTAAGCAACTGAGCCACCCAGGAGCCCCAATATGTACCCATTTTTTGCTGAATGAGAACACATACCATAAAACTCACCATCTTTAAGTGCATAACTCAGTGTGTTTTCAAGTACTCATAAGACTGTGAAACCACAACTACCCACTTCCAGAACACGCTCGTCCCCCCAGACATGTACCTGCTCAGCACTCCGCCTGCGGAAGTCAACACTGCAGGCGGCGCACTCTTCTCACTGGCACGCGGCACACCACTGCGTGCACAGGTCACCATCTTACTTCTCACGAACACCTGAGCTGTCTGTGGTCTGGGGTGACGGTCAGAGCGGCTGCACACACTCCTGTACTTGTCTCATGGTAGATGAGGGTCCTTGTTTCTGCTGGGTGTAGACCTGGGAGTGACTGCTGGGTCCCAGGTCCTGGCACTGCTTCCCTTTAGTGGTCACCTGGTCAGGACACTTCTTCCTTTGGGAACCAGCACAGCCGTGAGCGGCGATTCTTCCCCTCCCTGAGGGGCGAGTTCATATGGTCAGGCTGCTTCCAGTGGGTGCTGGAGACAGCACTCCGGGCGGCCGGGGCGTGTATGAGTTGAGAGTCTGACTGTGTGCACCTGCACTGGCACCTGATGAAAGAGCCACACCCCACCGCCTGGGCCAGAGGAAGTACTTGGTGTGGGACAAAGAGTGGCCAGTGGGGTACACTGTGGCCAACTCAAGACTGCCCAGAATCTCTGCTCCGAGTGACAGAAACACGACCGGAAATGAAAAGGCATGTGGCCCCCCCAGCCAATGACTACACTTCCTGGAGTCCCCTGAAGAGAGCTGTGACCCCGTGACTGAGCTCCAGCCAATGAGCTGGGAACGGAATGCGTGTGCGCAAGGCCCCCACCTCCACACACCCCCACCTCGACACCCTGATGAGGCAAAGCGGCCAGGCTCCCAGGAGGCCTTGACAGCCAGAGCCACCCAGGTAGGCAAAGTGGAACCAGAAGTTAACTTTTTTGTTAGAAACACTATTTTGAATCTGTTATGGCGACTTGAATAATGCTTAGGTAATACTAAGAAACAGGCTGATTACTCAGACCAAGGCTCCCAGTGACAAAGAAGAAACTGAACCCACACACCAGTGACTGGCAACAAGGACGAGGAGCTGAGCACAAGCCCGCGGCAGGCATCTCTGCCCGCAGGAGACCAGCTTGCTAATTCACCCACCAGCACAGCCCCCGGGAGCGGCTCAGCAGGGCTCAGCGGAGCTGGGGCACGTCCCAGACGAGGCTGCTGCAGGTACCCACTGAGGACGGTCTTCAGAGTCAAAGGCTCAACAACTTGGTTTAAAAAATATGTATTTCTGCTGCTTATAAAAATTACTTTATTTTTTCAAGCTATAAGTAAATTATGCCAACTGAGAAAACAGAAACAACAGAAAACCTGAAAAAAGAAAAGTAAAAGGAACTTTACCACCACCACGAAGATGACCACTGAACATCTTCCTCTGGTCTTTTTCCTGCACTAGTACTTTTAGGAAATCAGGACTATCACTCAGTTTTACATCCCGTTTCACTTTTGCATCTTTTTAATCCGCAGCCATCGCACGTCAGATACGCACTGTAAACACACCTCAAGTAACGAATGTAGGCGACACAGACAAAATCTACACAACGAGAACCTCCGCCAATGCAACGGTCACCACCGTTAGCTGCTTCAATATGCGTCCCCTGACACCTGCTTGAACAAATACAGTTACACACTTAGTAACATAAATTCGGTTTTCAAACGCAGAAATGGGATCCCACCACACTCGTCCGTCTGCAACCGGTCCCCCGTTTGTCATATGTCCCGGCATTCCTCAAGTCTGTCCACACAGATGCTGACCTGGTCCCCTGCACACTGTCACGGCACAGGCGGTCACAGAATCCCTACTCCCATCAGACACTGGAAGGAACATTCGTCCCTGTGCCTCTGCTGTCACAAGGTACTCTGCCCACTTGCCTGACCCTTTCTCCTCCCCAGAGACGGAAGGAGCTGCAGGATGAAAGTCTGGGAGAATAACAGGACGGCGGCTCACCACCTGCTCCACGGGGACACACGCTCTGCCCCTCTATGCCACAGGGTCGGCGGGGGGCCCCGGGGGCCCCTAGCAGCTGGCATTTCCTGAGAGCAGGCACCGGGGTCTGTCTGACGCTCTGACCCAGCCTTGCCCGGAAGTGAGGTGGCAGTTGGCCACGTGCCTCATTAGTTCGGAGCTCGGGAGGGGAGACAGGGCACTACTTCCTAGGGCCCCTCGAACCCCAGCAGGCACAGTGGCAAGCAGCTGACTCACACGGTCTCACTCACTCCTCCAACCTTCCAAGGCAGCTGGTCCCTCCTTATTTACACCACAGATGTGAAAAGGGAGACTAAGAGACAAGCAACTGTCCAAGATCACTAAGCTAGTAAGAGGCAGCAGCAAGGTTCAATCCAGGTCTCCTTTCCTCCAGTGCCCAGCTCCTCAATGTGGAAGGTTCTTCCCCTTCCCAAGTGTCCCCGGTCACTTTTACAAGACCATATGGGGTATTAGAGAAGTAAGCTGATAGTTTAAGCCTTACTTTTCTTAACCAAAAAAGTTTGGGGGCGCCTGGGTGGCTCAGTGGGTTAAGCCTCTGCCTTCGGCTCCGGTCATGATCTCAGGGTCCTGGGATCGAGCCCCGCATCGGGCTCTCTGCTCAGCGTGGAGCCTGCTTCCTCCTCTCTCTCTGCCTGCCTCTCCGTCTACTTGTGATCTCTGTCAAATAAATAAATAAAATATTTAAAAAAAGAGAGAGAGAAATCAATGTGCATACCCTAATGTAAAAAAAAAAGAAAGAAAAAAACCGGAATGGAACGAACGAAAGGAAGTAAAAACACAACGCGCCTGTGACTCTGCAACGTACTGAGCTACCGTGGCCCACCTTTCTGTCGCGACACACAGAATCTGCGGGATAAACTGTAACGTGAAACTGTAAATAAACAGGTGAAGCTGAGAGAGATGGGGCAATCCTCGGAGCTGGAAACGGAAGTGGGACGCTAACCTGGAGTGGGACCCTGTGCACCGTGGGATGACAAGTGGGGGGCATGCCCTACACAGGCAACAGGAGCTTTTGTCCTGAGCGCTGGTAAAGGACTCACAGGCTGGCCCGAGCCCCTGTCTGTGCCTTACAGCCTCGAGGAAGCAGGAAGGTTTCACTCTTGGGAACACCCAGAGCACGGGCACTTGAGGGAGACACAGCCGGGAGCTGCAGGAGGATCTGCCCCCGCTCCCAGCCCCGCCCCCGCTCCCGCAGGGATGAAGGGCACTGAGAACCTGGTGTGCTCCAGTCACCAGCAAGGTGTCTCGTTTCTCGCGTTCTCACAACTATCCATGATTTGCTTAAGGCCAAACCATCTGCTAGATGCTGTCTCCTCCTCCCCCCAACCCACCCTAGGGCACTTTGGTTACCGCTCCCAAGGATACTGCCGGCCTTCTCCCCTCCTGACAAGTCCAGTGTCCTCTCACCAGTCAGCTTCCAGGACGCGAGGCAGCACGGCCACGCCTGACAGCTCCTTGAGTCCTTCAATGCCACCGCCAGGTTCCGGGCGGAGGCTTCCCTGACCACCCTCCCTCTGGCTCATGAGCGTGTCCGGGCCTTCTCAGCTCTGCCCTCTCCACATCACCCCCAAGACCTTCCCAGGAGTCCGAAATCCATCGCCATCACCGCCAGAGAGGCTGGACCCTGGGTGCGGGCTTGCGGGAAAACGCGGCAGTCCCTCCCCCCAGCTCCCCCTCTATCTGCCCTAAGAGAGGCACTGGGGTCACTGCTGGCACTAACATCCCGTGAGATGCTGCTTCCACAGTAGGGAGAACGGCTCCATCTGTGCGGATGGGGGCAAGGCACACTGAAGCCCGGGACACACGGGCATCGCAGATCCGAGATGGGCAAAAAACACCCATTTCTACCCCTCGTCGGACTGGGCCCGGGGGACAAGGCGCGCTGCACGGTGGTGATGAGCACACGTCTACACGGTCCGAGGTCCCCGCTTGCCTCCAGGTGACATTCCTGGGGAACCTCAGGCCGAGACTCCGGACGCCGTGACGCAACCCGAGCGAGAAGGAGTGACAGGTCCCCGACCTGGGCGGACTCAGCCACGGGGACCGATAAACACTTCCAGGAGAACGCGAGCCTTTAGGAAAACCGCCCCCGCGAGGCAAACCGCTCTCGCGCCTGGGAACTCCTCCCGCCCGAGGTCCGGAGACAGGTCTGGTCCTCCCGATTCCGCCCCGCCTCCACCCCAGCGGGCATCGGGGGCGGCTCTGCCTCGCCTCCCGCACCAGGGCGTCCAGACCCCGTCCCTCCGCCAGGACTGTCCGGAGCGCTCCGTCGGGCGCCAGACACAGGCGGCAGGCCCGGGGCGAACGGCAGCGCTGCCCGCCCCGGACTCGTGGCCCCCGCCCCGCGGCTCAGCCCTCAGGCGCTGCGAGCAGCACCCGAGCGACGCCGGGCGCGGGATCCTGGCGCCCCTCGAGGAGGGTGCGCGTTCGCGGGCGCCGAGCGTGTGCGCCCAGGGCGCTCCCTGGGGATAGAGGGCGCGGGCCCGGGCCGCAGGCCGTGCCCACGACCCCGGCCCGCCCCGACGACTCCGCCGCCCTCGCCCCCGCCCCGCGGCCGAAAGCCAGCCACTCACCCCGACACCGGCGGCGACACGACGGCCCGCCGACAAAGCCCACACCGCCGCCCGCTCGTCGCGGCCGGAAGTCGGCCGAGGCCCCGCCCGAGAGCTTCCGGGGCCGCTCTAGGCGCCCCGGGGCCGGCGGCCTCTCGGTGGTGCGGACTTCCGGTCCCGGCCCCTGTGCTCCGGCTTCCTCATCGCGGCGTGTCGTCTCCGCGGAGCTGCGCGTCTCCGCGCCGTGGCCGGAGCGCGGGGACGGGGGCGGGGGCGGGGGCCGGCCGGGGCCTCCCGGTCCTTAAACGCAGCCCCTTGGCAGGCGGGGGCTGAAGCCGAAGACGTCGGGGCGCGGGCGCGAGCTCCCCGCCCTGGGGTCGCCCGGCCGACCGCCCCTGGGACCACGGCCTGCAGCTGGCCGTGCGGCTCGTCCCGGGGCCGCGGAAGCCCCCGGAGGGAGCCCGCCCCGCGCGCCGGAGCTGGTGTCGCGTTGGGCCCCGCGGGGCGGGGGCGGGGACGGGGACGGCTCGGTCGGGAAGTCCCGCGCGCCCGGCCCCACCTGCGGGGGAGGCGCGGGACCCTTCCGACGGCTCCGCGGCCTGACAGCGGGGGGCGAGCGACGGGGCAGCGCGCGGAGGCCGGAGAGAGAAGGCCCCGCCGTGCGTCCGCGACAGCGCTTGGCGCGGCTCCGGGCGCGCGTGAAGCCTTCGTGGGGCGGGCGCGCCGGTCCCCTCGCAGGCGTGTGCGGCTCCGCGTGTTGGCGCGCGTTGGCCGGCTGCGCCCGCTCGGACGGCTCGCGGCCCTCCTCCAGGAGCGCTCCTCGGTTTCCCGCGTTTCTCGGCGGGTAGGGAGCGCAGGCCGCGTGCGGCATTCCGGTCCGAGCGAGGGTTCCTCCCGGCCGCGGGCCTGGAGACGCCGTCGAACGCGCGGGCGCTTAGCCTGCTGCCGGGTTTGCTTCTCGGTGACCGCTGGTTATGCCGCGTCCGCGGGAGGGACGTTCCCCTGCATCTTCACCAGCCCTTAGTGTCCGGTTTCGGCCGGTCCGAGGGGCGAAGAGCAGTATCCTGGTTTCTGTTACCAAATCAGTGACAGGTCATTTGCAAGCATGTGGTTGCTGCTAATAAATTCATGTGACAAATAGTTTTGCCAAATGTATCCTCCCAGGCGACCGCAGTCCAGCCCTAGAACACCGTGCTCCCCAGGCCGGTACCTGGGCTCCTCCCGACTCCTCCAGCTGCTGCAAATCCATTGCTGACGAGGCCAAACCTCCATATTCATCAGTTGTTGGAGGCCACGATAAGGCTTGAGACGAGGACCAAACCAGGCCCTGACTTGTGTCTAAGTCCCTTTAAGTCCAAATACCTTAATAAAGGGTTACGGACAGGAAAGGTTGAGTAGCACTGAGAAAGGGTCTGTGCTATATGTCGCGCGCTCGCCTACGTGACTTCCCACACGCCCTGCTTGGTTGATTGTATTCGTTGGTCCTTGTTCTGTACCTCCCATAATCCATTGCCTGGTTGATTGTAACTTCTTGTATCAATAGTAGCTAATGGCATGAGCCGGGACTACCTGGCATCACAGATTTGTTTGTAGTTAATGTCAACTTGTTAGAGGAACTTGTGGTTACTCCTTCTATTGTGGTCTGCCTTATAGATGCTTGTAAGATGTGGAATAAAATCAGCCCTGTTGGACATCCTCAGTGTCTCTCCTGCCGCCATCTCTTTGTCTCTTCATTTCTTTTCACCATCCTCTTACCCTCGCGTTTTCCTGGTCGATTTGTCGCGCTGCCCGCGACAATCAGTCACCTGAACGGATTAACTCTGACTGAAATGCCCTTGCCCCATTCGTCCACTGGGCTGGTGGTCTTTTTCCTTGTGATTTGGTGGACTTTCTTTTCAGCCTGGATACAGATTATTGGCCTGTTAATATGTTGTGAATGTCTTGCCTTTACAGCTCACAGAGTGACCTGTGCCCTGCACTAACACTCGTGTGTTCAGGCCCGTTTGTCTTTTCCTTTGTGATGTGTGCTCTGTTCTGCCCTCCGCCCCAGGACCCTCATGGTGCTGTCTTTTCTCAGAGAGCCCTAACGTTTTCACTCAACCACCTGGAATTTATTTCTGAATATGATGAGGTGTTGGGGTCTGATTCTTTCCCATACGATGAGCCAGTATCCCCATGAAGAGTTAAACAGGCCGCCCTTACCCACCGCCTTATTGAAGACAAGCGTCCCGAAGACTGGTACTGAAGAGAAATGAGTGTTGCAGCCGTAGGGAGTGGAGGCAGGTGTGGGTAAACTAGGACGTGATGGGTCGTGATAGGTAGGGAGTTACAACATGCTTCGCTGTGATACGCGTGGTCCACAGGGGAGGCCTGCGAAGAAGCACCCCCCCATCCCTATTTAAGACTCAGGGGCTCCTGGCTGGCTCACTCTGTGGAGCTCGTGCCTTGATCTCCATTGTGAATTCTAGCTCCGTGTTGGGGGTAGAGAGTAAAAAAAAAAAAAAGTCTGAGAAATAGGATGGTGTTGAAACCAAGGGGTCAGAGCAAAGCTGGCCTCCCCCAACCTTCAGCGCAGGGCTGGGCTGCACCCGTGCTGGCGGCCGGCCAGTGGGAGGCTGGCAGGAACAGCGCCCACCCGGGGCGGGATCTGCAGACGCCGTGAGGGCTGTCCTGGCTGGGGCCTCCGTAGATGGCACCGGAGGAAACGTACGTGCATTTCCAGCCTACAGAAATGCTTGCTGATTGTCTGGTTTCTCTTCTGGGGTGTGTCTCCCAGGAAGGACTCTGCTGGTGGTGCCTGGGTGATTGTCACTGTGGGAGGGCCTCCTGCCACAGGCTTCTGCGGGAGCTCACACCCCGGGAATAGACCAGCTCAGTGGTGCTTGAGTCTGGTTGCAGAGAGCTGTTGCCATGACAACTTGGTGCCAGGTGCTAGGCCACCCAGGCAGACCAGCTGTGTGGCCTCTGCTTAGCTGTGGCTGTCTGCCCCCCACCATATGCACACCGGACCCCAAGCCCACATCTGGGTTGTGATGACTGTTACACTAGCCCAGTCAGAGCAAGGTTTCTGAAGCGGAACGAAATCTAGCTGGAGTTGGGGAAGGACAGTATTCACAAGGGCTGAGATGCTGGCGCGTGGGGACTCACAAGGAATGGTTACAGTCAGCATCGCGAAAGGGCCCTGGGCCCCAAGGAGGTGTTCCTGACCCCCCTCACCCTCAGCGCACCAGGGAAAGCTTCCTGGAGGAGGGCGTCTCTTATAGATGCCTCAGGGGAGAGAGGACGGCCTCTCTGAGAACATGGGCGCCTGGATGACACCGTCGGTGAAGCTTCGCCTTCAGCTCCAGTCATGAACCCAGGATTCCGGGGTGGAGCACCAGGTCGGGCTCCCAGCTCAGTGGGACGGGGGAAATGGGGGATGGGGATTAAGGACTGCGCTTAGCCTGAGAAAAGAAAAAGATGTCAGATCTTCCAAAATTAATCTAAAAGTTTAATGCAATTCCCATCAAAATCTCAAAGAATTTTAGTAGACACAGATAAACTTACCCTTAAACTAATATGCACAGGATAGGCCCTAGAATAGCTAAAAAATAATAAATCAATAAACAATAAATCAATCTTGAAGAAGGAGAATAAAGTGAGAGGCTCCTTCTACCTGATACTAAGACCTACTGCATTGCTGTTGGCATCAAGCACATGTGGCACTGGTGGAGGGACGGATACTGAGGTCTGTGGAGCCAGATCCAGAGCCACGTCCAGCTGATTTTGACAAATGTACAGAAGAAACGCACTGGAGTCAATAATGGAGTATCAATACTGGCTCATCAGTTTAAAAAAAAAGGGAAATAGCCAAACTTGGATTCTTTTGGTTAAAATTTTGGTCAGTTTTATTAATAAGCAACAGTCCATCTCCAATATCTGTGGGTAGTGCAGATTCAAGAGTGACCTCATTTTCCACGTGAGACCACTGTTTGCTCCCTGAGAATCGTCCAGTGTATGCGTAGCTCGGCAGGGCCTTCCGGCATCCAAATTAGATCTACTTGCTTCAAAGCACTTAGCGTTCCCATCTCGGGTCCAAGGTCGAACGTGATGTGTTTTTCCAAGATGTTTCATCTTTGGGCCGATCCAGAAAATACTGTGTTTGATCTTCTAGTTGTGCTAGAGGATGTGATCATGATCAGCACCACTGAAGTCTGGTCTCCCAGGACACGATACATGGCATCAAAAAAAAAAAAAAAAAAAAGCTGAATGGATTTTTGGCCAAAAATTCTGGTTTGTTCACTTTTCTCCAAACTTCTCAGTGCCAGGGTCATCTTCTTGCCCTCATTAATATTGTAAATCAGTGCCTAAAATTGTTTCTTGCTTTATTCCAGTCCTTGCCTTAAGTCAAATGTGTGTTTCATCTAGACCTACATATATACAAATTCAAGAGAATATGAGTTAATATTGCAACATATTCCTCAGCCACTATTGCAAATACTACATTAATTTCTGAGTACTTCTGGAATTGCAGATCAAAACAGGAAGAAAAGCAAGAAAATCTGACCTGTGAGTTAATTTTTTGCCTACCGAGTGCCTCTACCACTCACCTTCCCCTGCACAACCCACAGACTTTCAGGCTCCAGACAGAGCCCCTGAAGTGGGAGAAAATACCAGCAAATCACACATCCAACAAAGTATCTGTATCCAGAATATGTGACACATTCTCTGAACAAAGAAAGAAAGATAATTTAATTAGAACACAAGAGATCTGAACAGACACTTCATCGAAAATATAGGGACGCCTGGGAGGCTCTGTGGGGAAAAGCCTCTGCCTTTGGCTAAGGTCATAATCTCAGGGTCCTGGGATCGAGTCCCGCTTCGGACTCCCTGCCCCGTGGGGAGCCTGCTTCTCCTTCTCCCTGCCGTTCCTCCTGCTTGCGCATGCTCTCTCTTTCTCTCTGTCAAATGAATAAATAAAATCTCAAGCGCAGTGCAGGGGCCACACAGCCTCTCCGTGCCATTCCCAGGACAGGAAACCACTGGGCTGCCTGCTCTGGCCGCCCTGGACAGACCGAGGCTCTGAAAACTACCATTTTCCAAGGAATCTGGATTGTATTTTGAAAACGT